AGAAAAGATTGAAATTGTCAAGGACTTCATTCTTCTTGGATCAACAATCAACACTCAGAAGCAGCAGTCAAGAAATCAAATAACGTATTGCATTAGTCAAGTCTGCTGCACAAGACCTTTTTAAGGTGTTGAAAAGCAAAGATGTCAGCTTGAGGATTTAGGCACTCCTGATCCAAGCCATGGTATTTTCAATAACCTCATATTCATGCAAAAGCTGGAGAGTAAATAAAGAAGAACGTAGAAGAACTGATGCTTTTGAGTTGTGGTGTTTGAGGAGAATATTAAAAGTGCCATGGGCTGCCCATAGAACCAACAGATCTGTGTTGGAAGAAAGGCAGCCAGAGTGCTCCTTGGAGGCCAGGATGGCCAAACTTCATCTCTCATACTTTGGACATGTTGTCAGGAGGGACTAGTCTCTGGAGAAAGATATCATGTTTGTTACGGTGGAGGGTCAGAGAAAAAGAGGAAGACTTCCAGTGAGATGGATTGGCCAAGTGGCAGCATCAGTGGGCTCAAATGTGGCAACAATAATGAGGTTGGCCAAGGATCAGGCAGTGTTTCATTATGCTGTGCATAAGGTAACTATGAGTCAGCATTGACTTGACGGCACCTAACAACAACAAATGTATATGTCTTAAGAAGCTCTGATCGTCTAGTGTTTACAATTTGTGCTGCTAACCACAGGGTCAGCTGTTTGAAACTACCACCTGTTCATCGGGAGAAAGATGAGGCTTTCTGCTCCCGTAAAGATATATAGCCTCGGGAACCCTGTACAGGTATGCTATGAGTTAGAACAAACTCCACAGCACATAACCATTACCACCATTGCGTATGTCTTAGCAGGCTTAGTTACCTGATTTTCTAGCCCATAATAAATGGTTGTTCCACCACTCATCTATCAGTTTGTCGTACTGTAGTGGCTTGTGAGTTGCTCTAATTCTGAAAGCTGTGCCACTGGTGTTTTGAATGCCAGCAGGGTCACCCATGGTGGACAGGTTTTAGATGAGCTTCCAGGTGAAGGCAGACTAGGAAGAAGGAGTGACATACTGCTTCCGAATATTAAGTCACTGAAAACCTTCTGAATAGCAGAGAAAAACTGTCAGTTATAGTGCCAGAAAATGAGCCCCTCAGGTGGGAAGGCACTCAAAATGCAACTGGGGATGAACTGCCTCCTCAAAGTAGAGTTGACTGTGATGACGCGAATGGGGTAAAGTCCCTGTGGGAGAAAGGCCCACACAACCTTCATTTGCTGATGGGACACAACTCAAAATTAAGAGAAACAGCTGTAAACATCATTGAAAATCAGAACATGGATTGTACAAAGTATGAGTCTGGAAAAACTGGAAGTTGTCAAAAATAAAATGGAAGGCAAAAATGTTGATATCTTAGGCATTAATGAGCTGAATTGGACTGGTACTGGCCATTTTGAATCTGATGACCACATGATTTACTGTGCCAGAAGTGACAAATTGAAGAGGAATGGTGTTGCATTCATTGACAAAAAGAACATATCCAGATCAGTTATGAGGTACAACGCTGTCTGTGATATCCATGTACCTACAGTGAAGCCCAGTTAATAGCACTATTATTCAAATTTATGCACCAACCACTAAAGGCAGTGAGGATGAAATAGAAGAATTCTACCAACTTCTTCAATCTGAAATCGATCAAACATGCCATCAAGATGTATTGATCATTACTGGTGATTAGAAGGCAAAGGTTGGGAGCTAAAAGGAAAGATCAGTAGTTGGAAAATATGGCCTTGGTGATAGAAATGATG